CCCGGGGGTTGTCAGTCCCTCCCGGGGGGTGCCAGTCCCTCCCGGGGGTTGTCAGTCCCTCCCGGGGTCTCCCAGTCCCTCCCGGGGGTTGTCAGTCCCTCCCGGGGTCTCCAGCCACATGTGGATGGGGCTAGTGGTGCTCAGCCCCAGGGAGAGGAATGGTAGCCACAGCTAGCACACAGGTTTAGTGGGAATCACACGGTGGTTTGGGTGGGAAGGAGCTTAAAGCTCGTCCCATCTCACCCCTGCCCTGGGCAGGGACACCTCCCACCAGCCCAGGCTGCTCCAAGCCCATCCAGCCTGGCCTGGAACACTCCAGGGATGGAACAGCCACAGCTGCTCTGAGCACCCTGTGCCAGAGCCTCAGCACCTCACAGGGAAGAGTTTCCTCCTAATATCTAAACTAAGCCTACTCTCTGTCTGTGAAGCTATTCCCCCTTGTCCTGGCACTATGTGATCTTGTAAAAAGTCTCTCTCCGTCTTCCTTGTAGGCTCCCTCAGGTATTGGAATGATCTTCCCATGGAGGGTGGCAGAGCACTGGGACAGGTGCCCAGGGAGGGCCTGGAGTCTCCCTCTTTGGAGACCTTCCTAACCCATCTGTCCTCATTACCATATCACCTGCTCCAGGTGACCCTGCCTTGGCTGGGGGTTGGATTAGATGATCTCAGAGGTCCCTTCCAACCCTAATGACTCTGTGACTCTGCTCTTCCAGCTCCAACCTCAACATCAATGATGTGCTGGGGAACTACTCGCTGACGCTGATCGACGCGCTGGACACGCTGGCGGTGAGTCCTGGGGTTGTGGGACTGCCCAGGCCACCCCTGGGACCTGCCAGGGCTGTGGGTGCTCCCTAAGGCTTGGCAGGTGGTGCTGGGTGTGTGGTAGCTAACAGCTGGATCATGAGCTAGCAGTGGCACACTTTGGTAAGAGAATAGGAGTACTTGTAGATGTGTCAGCATAGGGTCCCAGGTGAAGTTCTGGAGCTCTTCCCCCAGGCTCAGGTGGGATCTCTTTTGGGATACTGCCATCACTGTGCTGCTCAGGAAGGGTGGGTTTGAGCTGGGACATGTGTGAGCTGCTGAGAGAGATGTCAGGAGGAGAGTTTGTCTTGTTCTAGGTGACTGGGAGTGCTCTGGTTGTTTCCCTTGGCAGAGAGGGCCTGACTGACACACAGCTATGTGAAGAGTGCTGAAAGGAAGGAGGGGAAAGCCTGTAAAACTGCTTCTCATCTGCATTTCTTATAAAGTGTGGAGAACTGAAAGCAGGAAGTGAGGGAAACTTGGGTTTAACTGCAGCAGCAATTTAGGATCTGTATTACGTGGCCAGTGCTTGGTTGAACACTGCCTTCCTGTCCTCATTCACCAGGGTCCCTCTGGGGCAGTGCACAGCTTTTTTTGTCAGATTAAAGCTGCTGGTTCCTAGAATCTCTTCTGTTTCAGCAGCTGAAGCCTGTTTTGCTCCTCATCAGCTCAGGCCAAGCATGTGGATGCTTTCCCACTGGGCCTGAGCAGTGGGGAGAGCTGGGTTAAAGGTCTCGTCCCTGCACACTCAGCCTTTTCAGGAACTGAGGGAAGCAGGAAGCTGTTTTCCTCCCACACTGGTGCTTCCTTGAAGTTGAGGCTGAATTTACATCTGGTCGTAGTGGAAGTTTTGCCGAGTTACACCTGTAGAAAGCTGGCACGAGGAAGCTCCTGGGCAGGCAGTGTTGGGTCAGAAGCCTTGAAAGGTTGGGCTCACCTTTGGTCAAATAAACATCAGCTCAGGCTTCATTGTTCTGCTAGTTGTGTTACCTTTGAAGCTACACTTCACTCCTGAACTGATAGCTCAGGCAGTTGTGTGCCAAGTCTGACTGTTGGTCTGAGATTGAACTTGCTGTTTTCTCCCCTAACTCTCTTCTGAACAGTTGGACAAAATAGCTTTGTTTTTCTGTGAAAGGTAATGGGAAACTCCTCAGAATTCCAGAAGGCAGTGAAGTTGGTGATTGACACAGTGTCGTTTGACAAAGACTCAACAGTCCAAGTGTTTGAGGCAACAATCAGGTATGTTGTGCTCAGTTTCTGTCTCTACAGCAATAACAGGGCTGAAGACTTGGTGGGTGTAATTCAGAGTCAGGTCATGGCTGAGGATGGGGTTGCTAGGCTTTGTTCCAGAATTGTTCCGTCAGGAAGTTGTTTCTTAACCTTCTATGAAAATATTCCATTCTTTCATAATGAGAGCAGTTCCACCGAGTCCCCTGTGGCCTGAGGCAGTGGTAACTGTGGCTATCTCCCCTGTGCTTGGCTTGCAGGCTGCTGCTTTTGTGTTGTGGCTCTTGCAGCAGAGACTCAGCTTTGTGCACAGCAAACCACCCTGCCACAGGTCGTCTTGCTTTGGTTTTCCTGCCTGGCTCCTGCTGGCTTTCACTTTCATTTCTGGTGAAAAACAGGCCTGTCTGCCTTGGAGAGGAGTTTAGCTACTCTCTCATTTCAAATGTTTTCATTTTCTGAGTGTGTTTTTGCTTACCTTGGCTTTCTGTGTTCTGAGTACCAAGTTCGTGTCACAATATCTAAATTGGCCGTTTGCAGGGCCGAGGAGGTTTTCACTCCTAAAGAGACTTGGTGTGTTGTGAAGGTAAATTCTGCAGAATCAGATTTTGAGATAGTGTGGCTGATGAGCAGTGTAACTTCCAAGTGTTTTCCCTGCTGATGGGAGGAAAACCAGATCTCTCCAGTGCCTGTAAGGTGCACAGAGTGATGGTTAACACAGTAAGGGTTTAGCTGAAGAACTAAGCTCAGATCAGGTTGAAAACTGACTTTTTCTTTTCCCACAGGGTTTTGGGGAGCCTGCTGTCTGCACACATCATAATCACCGACACCAAACAGCCTTTTGGGGATATGAGCATCAAGGATTATGACAATGAGCTGCTGCACATGGCTCATGACCTGGCAGTGAGGCTGCTGCCAGCCTTTGAGAACACCAAAACCGGGCTTCCTTACCCTCGGGCTTACCCTCGGGTAGGTGAGCACAGCAGCTCCAGGGGAAATCAGCTCCTAGTGGCAGTTCACCTGTCCTGCACCTTGAGTTTTGTGCCTTTTGACGTGCACTTTGGGGCACTGAACCTGCTCTAAGCTGCTTGATGTTACTTTGCATGGGGGAAACTGCACGAAGTTTCATGTGAGCGATACAGAATTTTCTCCTTATGTTCTAGTCAATGTTTTCTTTAGGCTGATTTTTCACTCTGCATATTGTTCCCTATGGGTCAGGAGTCTTTGTTCCTGTGCTGTTTGGCTGGAACATTCCCTGCCCTGTGTCACACAGCAGCAAACAGTCCTGTCCTTAGGAAGGTTACCAAGAAGTACTGTAAGGGCAAATAGCCAAGGAAAGTGCCTTTATTGGTGACTTACTACTAAGATAATTGTGATATAATAAAACTCATAAAATATTTGCATAAGAAAGTGCCTTTATTGGTGACTTACTACTAAGATAATTGTAATATAATAAAACTCATAAAATATTTGTCATACTGAGCTTGGAAGTTGTCATTTTAGTGAGTATTGCTCAGAGAACACTCAATATTGTGGTGTTCTTGGATGCTGCATCCTCTCATTTTAAGCGAATGCAGTTGGCAAGGAGAAGGATGTCAGTTCTACTGGAACAACTCTAGGCTGTAAAACTATAATTAGCACTTGCCTGGCTGCTTTTAATTTCTGGGGAAAGCAGCACTGCTTTTCCTCCAGAACTGTCAGGCTGTAGAAACATGAATTTTCACTTCTGTTCAGAGGCTGCTAAAGCAGTTGAGGGTGATGTAACTTCTCCTCAGCACTGTGTCCCATGGGGAAGTGGAGGAGCATTCACTGAGCTCCTGGTTTCAAGAGCACCAAGTGAGGGGGAGCAGTGTTGCATCACCCTTGGAAGAACCTGAATGTTTAGTAGAAATGATGACAGAGTGGATGAAATTAGGAAGGATTAGCAAGTCTAAGAGGGAAGTGAGGGTTGCCCACTTTCAGCATGATGCTGTAAAGCTGGAAGACGAATTTCAGGAGGAAAGTTTTCCAAGCAGCAATGTGCTGGTTTCCTGTCTCTGTACACATACACTGCACAACACCAAATAACAAATGCAGTACATCTGAGCCTGCAGATGTGAGCACAGCTGTGTGGGCCCAGCTTGTCTTCTCACTGTCAGCACTCTGCCTGCCTCACAGGTGAACCTGAAGAAGGGGGTTCCTCCAGACAGCCACAATGAAACCTGCACAGCAGGAGCTGGGTCCTTGCTGGTGGAGTTTGGGATCCTCAGCAGGCTGCTTGGTGATTCCACCTTTGAATGGGTGGCCAGAAGAGCTGTCAAGGCACTCTGGAGCCTCAGGAGCAATAACACTGGACTGCTAGGTAATCTCTGAGGGCATGCTGTGTGCACTGGCTCCATGTTTAACACACCTCAGCCTCATACCATCAGGCTAAAGGTTTTTCCACATAAAAGAAACTCTGTCCATCTGCTCCCTGTGTAGCTGTTCAGTCGTGTCCTCCTTGTGTTCTCATGGTTTGTGTGGACCAAATGGCACTTTGTAATTTGGTGAGGAAAATGGAGCCTCTGAATGACTCCTCGGGGCACAGGTTCTCAAAACCAAATCTGAAATGAAACTGCAGGTCCTGATTTGTAGCCCCATTCATATACTTTAGATGGCAGATGACTAAAAATACCTAAAACAACTGCATGTATGTGCTGGTTCCTGGGGTGAATCCACTGCAGTGCTTTGATAGTAATCTTGGATCCTTCCTCCCTGAGACATCCTGAAGATGTAGTATTTCCAAGTCTTGTCTCTTGATTGTTTTTCTGTGATGTACTTGGCAATTTCAGACTAAACTTTTTGTCTGTCCTGAAAGGAAACGTTGTGAATATCCAAACTGGTCATTGGGTTGGAAAGCAAAGTGGCCTGGGAGCAGGGTCGGATTCGTTCTATGAGTACCTGCTGAAGTCTTACATCCTCTTTGGAGAGAAGGAAGACTTGCAGATGTTCAATGATGCTTATCAGAACATCCAGAACCACTTGAGGAGAGGGTATGTTATTTCATGTGAGCATCAGATCCTTCAGCAAGGAGTTACTCCAGCAAGAGAGGAGCTTTTATAGTGCTTTGAGTCCTGCCCTACAAAATCTGTGTTCCCTTTTTTCTTCAAAGAACAAAATCTTTTTTTCCATGGTAGTCACTGTGGAAATAAATGTTCATGTTCCCTTCACTCCTTGCTCAATGGATCTGTACAGCACTGTGGGTGTAGAGGAGCTAAACTGGTTCCTGTCCTAGTTAGTCTATGTTAAGGCTGAGAGAAGAACGTGGCTCTGCAATGGAAATGTGTTAAATTGGCTGGTTTGGTGCTTCTTAAGGCCTGATCTTACCCAGCATGAGTTTTTGATACAGATTCTGCTGACAAAACTTTAGGATATCATAGAGTCATCAGGGTTGGAGGAGACCTCTGAGATCATCAGGTCCAACCATTAACCTGTCACTGCTGGAACCACTAACCCATATCCTCCAGTGTCAGATCCAGACACCTCTTAAACACCTCCAGAGATGGTGACTCCACCACCTCCCTGGGCAATATCCCAGTGCCTGAACACCCCAACAGGGTGTTGTTGTTGGCTTTGCTGGTAGCACTGCTGAGAAATGGAAAGTGCAGTGTGTTCCTCTAAACTTCTAAACAGAAAATACTGACGTGTTGCTATTGTCCCTTGGCAGTCGAGAGGCCTGCAATGAGGGTGAGGGTGACCCTCCCCTCTATGTCAACGTGAACATGTACACGGGGCAGCTGATGAACACCTGGATTGACTCTCTGCAAGCCTTTTTTCCTGGACTGCAGGTAAACTGTCATTGTTAAAGACCAAATAGATACCAGAAAGGCTCATTCTCCTCCTGGGCCAGCAATAAGTCTAAGCAATTCTTCTCAGCTGAGCTTGGCTGAAGCCTGTGGGTTAGCATCTGGCTGCTCTGATAAGAGTCTCAGTTCAGCTTCTGCATTAGCATAACAATGTGGGGAGGCCTGGCCTGCTCTCTGCTAGATCTGAGATACTTTAAACTTCTCTCATTTAACCTAAATGTTTGTACACTGTGCTGTGAGGGCTGAGCTCTGCTCAGGCTTTTACTGCAGAGGAGTGAATACATTAGTGCTCTCTGTTGGGGTTGGGTTTTTTGTCTCTGAGGGGAATGGTTTGTTATGTGCCACCTTCTCATACAGAGCAGAGGCAATTTGCTGGCTTGCAGCACTCAGTGTGCACCTTTATGGCTGTTGTTGTGCCCAGGTGTTGATAGGAGATGTGGAAGATGCAATTTGTCTCCATGCTTTCTATTATGCCATATGGAAACGATATGGAGCTCTCCCAGAAAGGTACAACTGGCAACTGCAGGCACCTGATGTTCCCTTCTACCCACTGAGGCCGGAGCTAGTGGAGTCCACATATCTCCTTTATCAGGTATTTCACTTCTCTGACGTTACAAATCAGGTTGTGGCCAAAATGGTTTCATTCAGAAAGTCACTTCCCCCCGCCCCCAGCCTCATGCCAGGCTAAGATCTGGTGCCTCTGGATCTGCCTGTTACGTGGAGGTCTCTGTGAGGCACCAGGTTGTTATGCAATGTAGTTGCTGTGCTGTTTGCCTCAAAAATAGCCTTTTTTATAAATTTTATTTTATAAGGCAGGCAAAAAGGAGACTAAACAACCTTTTCAGAGAGCTGCTGGCAGGTTTTCACAAGGCAGAGACTTGTGACTTCTTAATCAAAGTTGTTGAAGTAAATGTAATAGCTTTCCTTGTGGTATTGTCCAGGCACAGCCTCCAACTGGCAGAGGATGCACTAAACTAAAATGACTGTCTGGCTACAGAAAAGCTATCAAAGAGTTGGGATTTACTGCAGGTTTTACTAGGATTTTCACTAAAGCAAGTGGGAGAAGCTTGCACAGAGTACTTTAAGTCATGTTGCTGTAAAGATAAGTTTGCTGTGATACACAAGACTCTGGAACTGCTAAGCCTTTGTTGTGTTATTTTTACAAGATTTCAGAAGTGCTGATTCTAACTCTTGTCTGTCTTCCTTATTTAGGCCACAAAGAACCCGTTTTACCTTCATGTGGGAATGGATATTCTGCAGAGTTTGGAAAAATATACAAAAGCAAAGTCAGTCTTCAATGTTCTTTGTCTTCTCTCACTGCTATATACATACATTTTATTATACCAATCTTACATAGAATCCAATCTGCCACATGTAGGTAAACCAGAAAACCCAACCCTCCATGAGAGACACAAGGGATGATTTGTTTATTGAGGAGCTATTTCTTTCTCAACTGAAAATGAAATTATAATCCAATGACAACTTTATACCTTCAGAATGTTTTGAGTGCCTTTCAAAACACATTGATCAGATGCTAAAAAATGGTAACATTAATAGGGTTTTTCTTTTCCTATGGATCCTGCAAGAATATTTCTAACCTCATTGGCCTGTGGAGGGATGACCTCCGTGCCAGATGCTGTTGCATATCAGCTTCCATCTCAAGACAGCAACAGTGAATCCTGAGTGTAATGCTGAGCATCTGAACTTCTTGCAAGACTCACAGGGAAGATAATGAACATTTATTCTTGATTATTAATTCACTTACTTTGTAGACAAATGTGTATGAACAATTGGACAGGTAACACCTGGCATTAAGGGAGGTTCAGGTGCTTGCAGTCCCCTCAGAGTGTACCAGAAACCAATCATCAGTGCTTGCTTGTACAAGAGACTTGTTGCATTTGAACTTCAGCCCTAGTGACATGGTCTGAAGTTCAGGACTATCTGGGGAGCACTTCAAGATCAGAATGTGTGGGGACTAAACCCAAACTCCTGTCAAACCTTGCAGGTGTGGCTATGCCACGTTACACCACGTGGTAGAGAAGACGCAGGAAGATCGAATGGAGAGCTTTTTCCTCAGTGAAACCTGTAAATACTTGTACCTGGTATGTTTATGATCTTCATTTCCAGCATGGCAGAGCAGGAAGGTTGTTAATTGTTAGT